CTTAGATAGGATATGCAGCATTTCCTGAGATGGACAGTGTTTGGCTTATAGCGGTCTCAAAGGTTACTTTTAATTCAACCTCATATTTTTAAAAAATCCAATTCACTACTAGCGGGATCCACAAACTGAAGGATGCATTAGATGTATTAGTTAACAAGCTAATGCTTGAGCTTTTGCAGCCAGTTTTAGTAATGGGACAAGAAATCTTATCAAGTGGCCCCTGGATACTCCATTTAGAAAATAATTTAGAATATAGTTAAAGAATATAAAAACAGATGGGGAATCACTGTGGAGTGCATATTAGTAACAGATGTGGTAATATAACATCATTATCTGCACAGGTCGAATCTATCTGATGCAATCAGTGAGAAATATGGCCATAAGCCAATATTTGAAAGGCTGATTCTCTGTCTTTGGACAAATAAGCTTGACGTTATTAAAACCTCCAATTGAAACAGACATGGATTAACTTTGTTTTCCTCCCCTGCGGCCATAAAACAAACGTGACATGTTCTCTCACATTTGAATGTTTTTGTGGTTATTCGTGTTGATAAAGAAGACCCTGTTCACTGTTTTTTTTCTAGTTTGCTGCTTGAGGCATCAGGAAAGCAAAACAAGTTATTTATGTGCATCTCTACCATTCCTGCGCTGCAGTGATACATGACGCTGGACATGGCGTCATAATGGTGTAAAAACAGAGGGATCAGCCATGCGGAGGTCGAAGTTTCTCTGCAAACATACAACACGGACACAGGTCAAAGGTCAGAGTTCACCTGTGTTTGACTGGAGGAATGTGCAGCAGAGTGCAGATGCTGGAAAAGTCTGTCTCTGTTCTGGTGGTGGGACTACAAAGTAAAAACAGACTGCATGAGCTTTAATGAGTGGCAGATCATTGAAAATTTCCTGATTGCGATGAAGCATCAAAACTGTTTACATCTTTATCCTGTATGAGCGGTGAAGGTGTGTTTCCACATGTCCTGTGAGCTAGGATGACACCGTTGTCAGGGCCTTATCTGCTACCCTGGCAGGTAACAGTAGAGGCCGTGTCCCTCCCTCCATCTGCACCTCCATCTTCTTCTCCAGCTCAGTGATGGAAACACTGATGCTGTAACACCTTCATGACTCGTCGGCCCGCCTGGTTCGGATCCCTCAGATCTGAACCAGAGAGGATCAGAGAGGATCAGAGAGGTTCAGAGAGGATAGCGGGGCTCCAGACGAGGAGAGACAGCAGCAGCTTTTGGAGTCAGCGTGGAGGCTGCTCATTTGCGAACACCCTGCTGGGTTAATTCAGTCCCTGCGTGAGTGTGTGTATGTTTTCGCAGTGGCCCACTGAACTCTTTCGTTTTAACGCCGTCACAGGACCTCTGCCGTGGACAAAGAGACTCCGGGAGGAGAGCACATGACCGCAGACACACAGGCAACATCCAGAGCAGCAAACTGAGGCGCTTCCAGCTATCAGGCGGCAAATGTTTAACCTTTAAAGGATTTATTTTCAGAAATGTTGTCTATATATAGAGGGTGTGAAAGTGGGGATCTGCGCAGTCATTTACACTGATGATTGATTAAGACCAAAAGGCCCGTATTAGCATACTGAAGGGAATCAATGCTGCACACGTCCCTTCTCTGCGAGTTCACAGCTGGTTTTAATAAGACAGGACCTGGCAGATAAGAAAATGGTCTGAAGCAGCAAAGGGACAGAGGGATTTGTTGTGCTAAATGCCATGACAGAAAAAGCACATATATCAAAGTCCCCTGCTGATTTAGGCATTTGGTTATTTTCTCCCCATCGTGTTCCTCCATCTGCATTTAGATTTTTTTTAAAGGAAATGTAAACCCAGTGTAAGTGTAGTATGCAGTAGTAAAGTATAATAATATAGAATAGTAGAGTTTTTACGGAAGTTTTTTGCTCTTACTCTCCACTTAGCTGATGAAATCACAATACAATCAATATTTCAAATCAAAGTTATCAGTAAACAATTGATTTTAGTGCATTGTTGGTGAGACTCCTTCCATATATGATGCTATGAAAGCGGCCATCTGCTCTTCTCCAGTGTACTCTGGGGAGAGTGGGAGGTATGTAAGTCCACTTTTTGACTAAATGCTATACTATGCTTTGTATTTGTGTCCATTATAGCAAGGGAAGGTTCAAAATGTCTCCTGGTGGCTTTTAAAAGCAACAATAAATATATGAACATTATTCAACTCCAAAAGATAAAACATTTATGTGTATAAACCCAATAGAACTGTCTTAGGATCTGATACTAATTGAACACCATCAGCTGCCTCTCAAGGCCTTATGTATAGCTTTCTGTCATCTTACACATCCTTTATTTGAGTCAGGAGTTTCAACTGCATTTTCTGGATAAACAGACGCTCAAGGTTGATGTTAAAAAAGTTATTTCCAGATCCCGGAAAAGTCCCCACTTAGTAACTGACGGTAGTCTCCATCAGTAAGTGGAGGCCTTACATTCAAACCCATGCAGTGAAATGTTTGTGTTTCCAACGAAAATTACTACATTTAGCAGCGCTGCCACCGGACTGCAACCCAACGGTAGCAGTACTTATATTTGAGGATATTGTTACACCCAAACAGCAGCAGGGGCCGGGGGGCAAACGGCTCTGTGGACACGCCGAAGCTGAGATGGTTGGATGGAGGCCCACCACAGCACACCCCAGAAACCGGCCGCACGCGCGCCGTGAGTCACGCCGACCACAGAGAGCGATTCATCCTGCGGGGGACAGCCGTGGATGTGGGGGGGCCTTGGGCAGCAGGGATTTCAACACATGGCCTCCCCTGACTCTCGTTAAAAGGCTGCTGATCAGCTCTGCTCTCAGCTGCTGTTCTTCCTTTACTCTAAATTGGGTTTAAAAAAAAAAAACAACTCCTCCAGATAAGTGGGAAAAGGGGTCTGAGACAAAGCAGCTGCGACACAATGGCAGGTTTGGAAGTGCAGTGTGTTGAGAGAGGAGGGTTGAGTGCAGTTTTCCTGGATGGGACACAGCCAGTGTCAACTGGAAACCTGGCTGCTCATCAGCAGATTTCTGCAGATGTGGAGACAGCTGCTGAAAATCAGCTCAATGAAAGGTTTAACATAACAGCCTCTTGAAATGGCAAAGAACACCCCTCATTTGTCACCAAACTGTCTGTCCAACAGTTTAATCTTTTAACACCGCTTTGTTAAAACTCCAGAAAACCACGGTGCTCCTCATTGAGGCTGACGGAGACACAGTGCCCCCTAGAGGCCAACAAGTGGAACTACGCGTTCATCTTCAGAGCTGGTTCAGTTGTCTGAAAAACTCCTAAACCAGCCTTCAGTTGCATGGCAGCGTGCGTAATTATGCCATATTCAGTGTTTTCATTTTTGCTATATCCAGTGGGTCAGAGGACTGCCACCATTTGTTTTAATCCAGTAAAATATGTTTTGATTTGTCAATCAAAACAATCTGAACACTTGATCTATTTTCACCTCCTCTATGGAAACAAATTACATGACACCGTAACAGTTCGTCTTTCTGGTACTACGACTGGACCCCCAGGTATCCCGTAACTCAGTGTCACATCAACATAAATATTTTAATTTGTTACATTTGTGTTGAATCTTTCCCAAACCGAATGTGTTCTTCATGGTGGCTGCACATGAGCACTGGGTATTGGTTTATTCTCTTTAAGTTTTGATGTTACATCCGATATCTAACCCAGACATAGTGGCACTTTTGAGGAGGTGACTTATTTTGGGAACATTTGAACAAAAAAAGACTCTTTAAAATCAAAATTAGAACACAATGCCTTGTGTAAAGATTTATTAATTTATAATACAAGCTTTTAATGTAGACAACATTGCATTTTAGTTTTTACATTTATTCATATTGAGCTAAACTTCATAGTGACACTGATCGACAAAAACACAAACCAAAGGACACTCAGTGGAAGGAATCAAAAGGTTTCCAGCTGTTTCTGAAGAAACCGCAGCCCATCAACGCTCCCAGTGCAACACCTTTGTTTTTCTTTAAAAAAATAAACACAAAAAACCCAACACGCCCTCACTCGTCCTCATACAGTATGCCACGTGCATCACACACCCTCAGACACACTCGCTCGCAGCTCACCCTCACTAAAATTGAACAATGACCTATTCACAAGATAAAAATTGATATTTAAATTCCTTATTAATGATATTACTGAATTCCACGATAAAAGGCAAACAAGACATAACAACAGCATCCAAATAACGAGGAGGGGAATTTTCACCCTGCTTTCTTTCCCCCCCCACCCCCTCTTCATCCATCAGGAGAAACACCCTCCGTTTCAGAGCTCTCTGGGGAGGTTGTTCCTCGTGGACCGGCGGGTCTTCTGTTAAAAGTCCTTTCTCAATTGGTCCATTGCCACAAATGAACAGATGCAGACGGTGGCAGAAAGTTCACTGAGCGAGAAGTCTGCAAGGAGGATCGCACGTTTGTGAGCGGAAAAAAAAACAAGCCATGAAACTCGAATTAAACTGGTTAAGTGCAGAGAGAGGGTTAACACCTTTCAGTAAGACCAGGGGAAACGACCATAAGACTAAGAAGGGCGGGGGGGGGGGGTTGTTCTCCAGAGCACTTGTGTGTCCATGAAGAGCTGTAAGTTCCTGGGCTTTTTCACTCCGTGACAGCTCTGCTCTTTAAAAACGCCCCCCACTGTGAGCAGATCCCTAAAAGAGCAAACGTTGTGTTGGATCTTCTATTCGAACGGGGTAACGGCAGCTAAAATATGCAGACAGAGTGAAAGTTTTGGGGGCCTGCAGTGAATATATTGGCACAAAAATAGGTAATGGGTAAGAGTTCAACCGAAGCGACCGAGGGGCCCAAAACGGGCTTCCTGCATTTTATTCCGGAGCCACAGAAGAAGAGATGGCCGGCAGCAGAGGACAGAGAGGGAGTGTGAGCAGGTTTAGAAGTGTGTGTTGCGTTCTGTCTGTGTGATGGTAGGTAAGGGGGGGTTGGGGGGGGTCGCTTCTGTGGCTTTACAAGAGGAGGCAGCAGTTGCTCTCTGTGGTTTTTTCTCTGTTTCTTTGACCTACAAAGACAAAGCAGACAACACACCAGGTGACAAATTAGAGTTTGCTTGTGTGTGTGTGTGTGTGTATATATATATAGCCATGGTCACTGCTCTATGTAACAGTTCATTCTATCTAAATATGGTATTAGTCTCCTTTTACGGCAGAATATTGAGAGCAGTTCCTCACCATGAGAGTTGGGCTCTGGAAGAGTCTCTCTGGCAACCAGGTGCATGACAGTCGTTCGGCCCGGCGGAAGCTTTAGAGCTTTGAACAGGAAATACACATCATGCATAAATGTGCAGAAGGAATGTTACACTTTAAATCAAAATGAGATTGTTGCAAATGTCTTTTGTTTAAATGCTCTTGTTGCATGTCCACATTAAACACAACACACATTTTAGCCCAGGTTGAGGAGGGTTTCTTTTGTCCCCACATCAAAAACTTTAAGAGAAAGAAGCTTTTTAGCATAATACAGAAGCAGGAAGATTTACATTGTTACAGAATTCTTTCCAGTTCGCTCCTCACAGCCACTGCGTTCCACCAGTTTTAATCCACCCGGAAACCTGATATGTTCCGGTAAGAAAACTCTGACCTGGCGCACACAGTCACTGGATCCACTGTGAGACGTTCAGTGGGCGTGGCGGCAGTAGGTCATCAGCAGGGTGCCAGCGTTAGATCGGCTGATGAACTAATGTTGACGCCTCCGCCCCACTGACTGGGAGTCAGTGGGTGCAGGTGGAGGCCAGGTACGGGACGCGGAGGTCAAAAGCTTCATAAGATTAACTTAAATCGCGGGATCACATTCGTTTGCTACTTAGTCTGCCCCGATTAGAATCAACTCACCTCTTCAACTGTGACCCTGTTTAAGCGCTAGAGGACTGCGGCTGTCCCTATGGCAACAGATGTTTAAATTTGGTCAGACCCCGGGTGTGTGACTGCATTACGTTAAGCTCTTTAAGTCCACTTGCTGATGAAACGGATTTAAACTTTTGTTTGCGAGTTGCGTTTGATTTCTGAGCTCATTGGGATCGAACAAAAGACGTTCCGAACAAACAGGGCGGAATATTTTACAAATCTGCATTGTGAACAGAGGGCGGAGAACGTATTTCTCTCTTTCAGTCACATCCAAAACAAACCATTAAACTCGCTGTGCGCGGACCGGCTGCGCAAGGCGTCGTGTGGTTTGTCCGCTTTGAAGGAGGCGTTCACTGAACACGTCCCAGGGTCTGCTCTTACCTCCCAGGGTGACGTTGCCATGAAGGAAGCGCCCCTGGAAGATGAGGCGCAATATACTGGGACTGCTCACCCGCTCCTCCTCCCATCCTGCATGACACAAGAGGAACGAGAGCCTCGCTCATCATGATCCTACTGCTAGAGGATGTTTTAAGTAGATTTTTTTTAAAACATAGGAGTTAATTAAGTCATTAGGACTGATGTGAACACATCTAACCAATAGGATTTAGATGCAGACCCTGTAAACTCAGACTCAATAAATCCTGGTTGTAGTTTTAAAATACCCGTTTGGTTTTAAACAAATAAAGAAAGTGTATGTCAAAAAATGTAATGTCCTATGATACAATGACTAGACGGCCTCCTTTGATCAGTCCCACAGAGACTACATACACAGCTGAATTAGCTTGTGTTCATTTTTACTTTTGATCACACTCGCATCAAACTACACTTTGGTATCATAACAAATAAAAAACAGATACATTTAATAATCGACAGCAAGTCACAAAGTTCTTCAAATCTGCGAGAGTGGAAACAGCCCGTAAAATGTACCTGTTGGCCAGTTGTCAAACACATGCTTGGCGATGTCTGTGGCAGAGTCATTAGGGGAGAAAGTGAAGTCTTGTGTTTTGCCACTGACCAGGATGAGGCGAAGGTGCACCTAGAAACACAAACAAAACATCAAGATAGCCCCCCATAGAGACGTCCTGCCATCCCACTCAGACACCAGGCTTCCATCAAAAGCCCCCTCCATGAGGCGAGGGGAAACTCCTCCGCTTCTTCTCACCTCCCCGGGCATGAGGTGACCCTCAGAAAGTCGAGAGGAGACAGGCATTCCAGTGTAATTAGATTTATCCGCACCAGACCTCCACCCTTTGACTGGACCACTTCATCCACTGAGGGCTTACACTGAAGTGAGCCCCTGTTGCCAGAGACAACAACAGATAAGGGTGGGGTTGAGGGGGGAGGACACTGGCCCTTTAGTTCCAGGGCGCTGCTGCTCCTCTCCGGGCTGTTGGCCTAATGCGATAACCCCAGGTGTCCCAGACAGCTCCGGGCCATGTTATTAAATTTACATGGCCAGTGCGTAGCCCCGAGAGGGAGCGGGCGTGTGTTCGGGAGGCCTGGATAAAGTGGGGCTCCCTCCAAAACGGATCCCGTGGGCGAGCCACACACCAGCCCATAAATGAATAAAAGGACGGACCTCTTTTTTCCAAGATGCCTTTAGGGCTGAAATATTCCACTAGCATCAGGAAACGCACTGATCCTCAAACCAACTTGCAAAAGAGCACAGATTATTCCTCCCTTCGAATGACTTTTGCAATTATACAAAAACAATTACGTTTTAGCTTCAAGGGTGCCGACTTTTAGCAGAATCCCACAGTCTGTACATTTACAATGTATGTATGTACAACGTAAGTTGCCATATGTACGTTTTCACACAGCCCCGAGGTGATTTTTTTTCTTCTGTATTTATTTATTTTTTTACTGTCCAAAAGTGAGAGTTAAGCTACATCTTCATCCCAACCAGGAGCTTTCTGTGGTAATGTTCAGTTTTTTAAAGACATCAGAAAAGCACCGAGTACATTTCTGCTTAGCACAGCAAGTCCAAAACAAAAATATCTTGAAATTTAAATACTTTCACACTCAGCTGAATCTCTATAAGTGGATCCTGGAAATCGGCCTTATTATTGCTGGCATATAGCCACAGAACAGTCGAGGTAACGCCAGAACTGTGGAGGAAAAGTGTTCTTTAGGTGAATTATGTTCTGAGCTCATCATTAACTAAAGCTTAATGTCAGATGTCCATCCATCCATCATTCATCCATCCATAATGTCAGATGTAACCGGGTTTATTCCCAAAGGTTACGTGCTTACATGTGCCAATCGCACCACTGAGCTCCTGCTCATGGATTATTAAGGTGAAAAATCTTTTTTTTTTTTTTTATTCAAATGACCACCTACTGTGCTTTACAGTGCCTATGGGGTCAGAAATAAAACCCTGCTTTATAAAAGTCCTGAACTGTCCCTAATCATTCAGAAATGAGTAATCTCATCACCTTAATCGTTCCTCTTAATTAAAAAAAAAACGTGAGTACCCCCCCACCCCCACCTCTTTAGGTCACAAACCCCAGAGAAGAGAACAAAGAGACTTAACCAACGCAGTGTGACGTCACGGAGGCACAGCATGGCTATCTGATCTGTTTACAAATAAAGTGGACCACCAAGGGCAGGGTGGGGGTGGGAGACCCTCCTCCCTCTGAACTGAATAACCTCAATGTGGGGTTGCATCTTCATATCATCAGTACCCGGCTTTGTGACGACGCCTTTCATCCCCAACAAAATAAAAACAATGTCCAATCTGCCCCGTTGCCCACGGCAACATCCCACACCCCAAATAACCTTAGGCTCTCCAATCAAAATAAACACTGTTTTGAGCCTGGATTTTGTGATGAGTTAACAGGGCTTCCAATAGGAAGGCTTATCTAAGATAGATGTTTGTTATATTTCCCCAAAACATGCCTATCAGCAAGCTTTTTTTTCCTTTTAAAAACAATTCTCAGACGGGAGTTATTCATTTTTTTAATAAAAGGATATCCAATTTAAGGAATGTCTACAAAAGTTAAAAGCATTAATTGCTTTTAAAAAAGAAACCAGGATAGAGGCTTAGGATTCACAGTTCAAAGGAATTCAATCTATAATAGCACAAATACACAAAAGCTAAATATTTCCATATTTTGTGGAAAAGAATTTATCTTTTTATACAAAAACATCTGTGATGTGGCTTGATGGTCAAAGCCCTGCAGATAACAGTTTTCCATTGTTGAAAGCTTCAGCCTACGATGCTTTCATAGCTAAAGAACATAAAACCATTTTCAAATAGTGCAATCCCAGTTTCTCCAGCAGAACAGCTGAAACTCACATATTTTCTTTTAAATAATGCATTGGTCCTTCCTAATGAGACCTTCCACCATCGCAAAGAACAATAGTCTGAGTGCACAAGACGTTGACATAAATGAAAAATTACTTTCTTGTTGACGTGTTTTTTTAAGAAATAACAAATGCGTTTGTGGCACTAAATTCAAGCAGATTTCTGGAACATTTTGTTTTAGGAAACAAAAATGTAACAAAATTCCTCCAAATACTGTATACCTAAAAGACATGAAAGACGTTCCTAAATAAGAACTGTAAAGTCAATCATATGAAATTTTCTGCGCATTAGCAGGTTCATATCAACAATGTTTAGACGTAGATAAGAGAAGGAAACTGGCAAAGAAAGATTAGCACCCAACTAGGGAGTGGGTGGGATAAGTCGTATAAAGTTTTCTGTGCACACGCACCTCACATTGGGAGATATTATGATGTGTTGCAAAGCAATATGTTAGCCACTATTTAAAATCGTGAGTGGGGTGTTATATTAAGCATGAAACTGTAATCATCTAAGCATGAACAGCTGCTAACCATACATGCTCTGGATTAATTTCTGCTCTACTGGAGCATGAATACGATTGCTGATTCTCCAGACTTGTTCCTAGATAGATGCCTGGAAAATCTCTGAGGGATGTAGACATTCGTTTTACAACATGTAGCCAATTTGGACTATCCCATATGTTAAAGAAAGCTCTAGATTTCAATGTTTCATATGCTAGGAAACTCTTTTACTGTAATTCAAATTTACCTTATGCCCCCCTTTTTCATCCTATTACTTGGCCTTCGAATGACTTAAAACGACTTTCAAAGAACAAATGCATTTGTTACAGCTTTGAAAATACTAACAGTGTCTATTCTTGTGATTGACATGGGGTTGAGGGGTTTGGGGGGGAGAGAAGAAATAAAGAGGGTGCATCAATTGGCATCTAAACCTGAAAAAGAAAGTAGGCCAACGTTTTAACTGAGATTAGACAGATGGCGTTCACAGGAACAGCCGTCACAATCCCAGCTAAGTGTTTGTGAACATTGACTAATCCACAACCACCCCCCCTTCCAGCACCCACCAAAACCCAAACACTTAAATGATCTAATCTTAAGCAAAACGTTTAGATGTTTCATTCACTGAGCTTATCCCATATATCAGTCTTGCGTGCTCAGGAAGCAGCAGTAATTGTGGTTCCTGAATCAGAAACACCACCAGCAGATGATCACCTTTGCTCCACCACGATACAGTACAAGTGGCAGAGCTTCACTCACCATATCAAGATCCATCTGGGTTGTCATGGCTCAGCGAGGAGGAAGGCCGTGGACGTGGAGCCAAGAGGACAAGACTGGTGTGCTTCAGCTGCTGGGGACGGGGCCAGAGCCCTGATGCAAACAACACGGACACTGTGAGGCTGGTTCCCACAGCCTGGCACCAAAACAGCACAGCTCCGAAACTGTTACGCTCCGAGTTTGCCCCCCCCTGCTTAAACCAAAGCCAACACCACAACACTGACACGGCGATTAGATCTATTGTCTCAAAAATCGCAAACGACATTAACTGGGTTGGCAGAATTTTTTTTCCAACTTTTCAGGCAAACGACATCCCTGTGCAGTTTACCTACCATTAAGCTAAGCTATCAGGAAACGTATCTTAAGTCACATATATTCAACGCCAGTGTATTGTTTTAGCTAAAATAACCCATTAATTGAGGTTGTCAAGGTGGTTGATGACCTACAGTGTGTGTCCACAGCGGTTTGAGAGGAGTTTCGTCCTAATTAATGTCGACTCCTGCAAACGGAGAAGGCTTGTGCTAACGCTAGCATTAGCTGAGGCGTTAGCTTAGCCTTCACTGAGGCTGCTGCTGGCTAAATGAACGCTAGTCTGTGATTTTTGACCCATTGAACTCACCTGCATCTGATAATTGTGATGAAATGTCGCATTCAGTTGAGTTGACGACTTAGTGCAAAGCCCCTTTCATGGGTAAATTTCGAGTGGAGATGGGTAGCCTGTAGCTATGGTGGACTCGGGATGTCGGAGGCTAATGGACGAGAAGACGCCGGATGTCAGCTGGTTGTGAAGACAACGTCCACAATGGATTCTGGGAGTTGAAGTCCTGACCGAGAACGAGCCAAACTGTGACCTTAACATTAAACAAACTGCAGACGTCTATATTCTCCGAGGTGTGCTGTATTAAACGCAGATAATCTTTACAGTTAAAAGTGACGGTGGTAACAATACGTGTATCAAACATTGTCAATGTTGGTGACATTAAATTAAATGTTTTGTGCAATTTTACAAGAGCTAGATCACTGATCAATCAACACAGATTAAAACTGAACAAAGTCATCATTCAGTATTTCAAATTTTGAACAATGTCCATAGTCCCAGCACAAGCTTCATGTTGACTTCTCACATTTTCAGGAACTCTAAAGCTTCTCCTTGCAAGTGCAAAGTGTTATGGTGTGCTATGAGGTTCATGAGGCAACATGTGACCTAAAGAACAACCAGCAATATCTTGCATTATGCCTAGGACAGCAGAAAAGAAGCCCTCAGCTGTGTGGCAAAATGTTGTGAAGGAGCACATCAGCTGATGAAATCACTCTTAGTGGCGGAATATGTGACAATGGAGAGGAGAGATTTGGTGTGCAGAGCAGCAGTCAACGCCAAGGACAAGACAAGTTCAGCAGACATAAAGGGTGCTGTGTTCTGGATGTTTGCCATGCAAAGTTCTCCTGTTAAGTCATAGACAATGCTACTAAGAGAAAGGAGCTTTTCAATGTTTTGGGTTTTTTTCCTCCTTTTTTTGAGTGTTTGCCATTACTTGACAGGAGAGTAGAGAGACAGGGAAGTGGAAGGAAAACTGATGAGTGCCACACAAGAAAGTTCTCACAGCCTGAGTTCAAACTGTTGATTTCTGCAAACTTGCATTACCTGCATGGCATGAACTCAGTTAATTTGACCATCCTCAATTGTTTTGTTTTTCACAGTTTTTTGTTAAAGATCTATCTGATTATTCTTAGGGTATCTTATTTTGAATTTTTTTGAACAGTGTAATTTATAAATGTAGTGCATCACCATACAGCTGCATCATAAATCTCTTAAAAAGTATTTTTGTGGAACCTATATAAATTGTGTCTGCACATTTAACATTTTATCAAATATAAGTGATTCACTAACATACTTTTTGAAACTTGGAAAAGTCCTGATAAACCTGCTGAATACTACTAAAGACCATAGTTGAAAAGAATGTGATCATCCACAGGTCTAAGTTCTTCCTGCTGCTTCTAACTATTTAAACCTTATTGAGTTCATTTGAACAGCCGAATTACATCTGATTTAGCACCCCAGAAGCAGTGTTTAAGTGGATTAAAATAGATCATGACCCTGAGGCCTCCTGTGTTTATCCAGGAATAAGGTCTATGCAAACCGAATAAGTCATCTATGCTTCTATAAGCTCAAAATGTGGGGTTTGAAGGAAAAAGATAATAAACATATAAAAAAGCTGTAGCACTGTGGTGGGTCTTGCTCTGTTATATTTCTACTGAATCCTGATGCCACAGCCTATGCAGTTAGATGAGTAATAGTAGAGCAACAGGCAAAGTGGCTCATAACCTGGCAATCAGACACCTGAAGCCACTGAGGCGTTTTACACAGGGAACGTCTCACCAGCCTCTCCTCTGGCATGACTCAGCGAAAGAGGAGTGGCTCGTGTTTAAAAGCAATCATTGAAGATGAAGATTAAGCACGGTTTCGACCGGGTGTTTTTCTTTTCATCACAATGGGCAGGAAGAGATGGAGGAATTCAGAATGAAATGGAATTATCCCACAAAAGCTATGCAGAGGTTAAAGCTCAACAAGACAAACCAACATAGTATACATTTCAAATGGAGTTTTTAACTACAGCAGCCACTTCCTATTTGTATTTCTCTGTCCATTACAGGTGGAATATTTAAAGGCCCAACTAGCAAAATATCAATGCAACAGGTCATTAAAGGCTGCCGAAATGGTGTCCAGTGACAAAACAAATCATCCATCCATCCATCCATTATCAATACCGCTTATTCCCTCATGGGGTCGCGGGGGGAACTGGAGCCTATCCCAGTGGTCAACGGGCGAGAGGCAGGGTACACCCTGGACAGTCCGCCAGTCCATCGCAGGGCCACACACAGGACATACAAGGACCAACAACCACTCACACTCACATTCACATTCACTCCTAAGGGCAATTTCCCCAATCTCCAATCAGCCTAACATGCAGGTTTTTGGACTGTGGGAGGAAGCCGGAGAACCCGGAGAGAACCCACGCAGACACAGGGAGAACATGCAAACTCCACCCAGAAAGGTCCTGGTTCCCCCAGGATTCGAACCCAGAACCCTCTTGCTAGGAGGCGACAGTGCTAACCACCACACCACCGTGCCGCCCCAAAACAAATCAATTAAAATAATTTTTAAATGTACCACTTTATTGGATTTATTTAAAGATACATATAAAGTGTGTGAGTAAGGGAATTAATCAAGTTCTAGTCACACAACACTAAGATCTGTCATGAATTAGACTATGACTGCAATCAAACTTGAGCTGCATGTGTCAACATGTTATATTGAAATTTAGGACAACACAACATACAATATATCTATCTATCTATCTATCTATCTATCTATCTATCTATCTATCTATCTATCTATCTATCTATCTATCTATCTATCTATCTATCTATCTATCTATCTATCTATCTAATTTTACTTGTAATTAATTCTTCAGAAAAAAAGTTTCTGTCATTTGTATTTATGCTTTCATTCTTAATGATGTAATTCTCTGCATTGTACCTCAATTAATCTTGATACTATAAAAAGGCTAATTGTTCTGTCTGTGGTGTGTTTCATATCAAGGTCCCAGGTACATTCAAAACAATTTTAAAATATGATTAAGGCAAGCTATTTTTTGTCTTATCTCTTTGATGACCAGTAACACTTTAAATGGACTAAGAGTACTTAGAACTCTTTCATAAACTGTTACGTAATGCAGGTACATGTTGCTCCCAGCAGCCGCTGTTTACGTCTGATCCGTCTGTCACACGAGGGACTCGGTTTCCCAGAGTTCCGTTCCACGCATGCGCAGACCCCTTTGCCTGACAGTGGTAAACAGACGTCAGAAGGGAGTATTCGCCTCGAGTCAAAACAAAACAAAGCAAAACAAGTCAAAAAGAGAGTGAAGAATCGATTTTTTGGACCGCCACAACGAAGGAAAACTGAACAAAAGTCGCCGCTGATTAAATACGCCAACTTTGAGGAAGTTACCAGCGGCTTTTCACGGACTTTTTCACGGATTGTAAACTCTGTAGTAGCTGGAGCTTAAGCGGCTAACGTTACGGTGGCTACCGTGCTGATTTCAAAGTGCGGAGAGTGGGTCCCGACAGACCTCGGGGGCCGCCCGGCCTCGCGCAGCGCACCCGGGAACCAGCCGACAGGTTCGGTCGCCGTGCCCGCGCGACCAAGACCGTCCGGTATCCGGGCTTCGCTCGAGAGCGGTTTTGTAAGCGGCGCTTACGAGCATCGTGTGCGGCGGCAGGAGTGTGGGGAAACATGGCAGATGGTGACACGCGCCCGTCCGTAGTGTGGCTGACCGTGCAGACCTGAGGCTCAGACCTGGACTAACGTGCGTTTTTTAACCTCGTCGGTTCATCCGAGAACCGCAAACGCCACACGGCGCCTGATCTGGTCTCCGTCACTTTTTTCTTAAAGTTAGTTTGCTGAGCAGGCAGGCCACAGAGGCTGCCCCCCCCACCCAACACCCCCCACCCCAGCCAGCCCGCGTCCCCCGGCCGGCAACACCACCGGCGGGAGACCTGTAGCCGGGATCCGAGTGTGTGGTTTATTCTGTTTTAGTTTGAAGAAAGCGTGGTTGTTGTTTGCCTCGAGGGGGAGTTTGTTGTTGTTGTTTACGGGTCTCCGTTCAGAGGCTCCTTTGTAACGGGAGCCAGCTAATCCCCGCACGAGTCTTCATGCTTTTACAGTATGTTGTAATTTCTTTTTTGTTTGGATTCATTCATATGTTATTATCCCGTCGACCACCAAAACCGTACTTTTACTCTTTAACTAAGTTTTAAACGAGATCGTATGATTGGTAACCGCATTGTTGTATGTTAATATCAGCGAAGATTTCCTTTGGATTCATTTCCAGATGAGCCAGAACTTTTGTAGATCCAGATGTTTTGCCGCTCATTGCCACTCCGCCACTTTTGTTTTTATGTCATTCAAACAAAGGAGCCCCCATCCAGCCCTCCTTCACTCGGTACAAATCGGAAGGTTTATGATAGTTACTATTAAGAAGATTATTTGGGTTCCCTAATCTCCAATCTGAGGATTAACCGAGGCCATTATTGGTGTGTCCAGATTATTGCGTCTCTTTTCAAGGCCCCTCGGCTGACACCCCCGCCGTGGCGCGAGCAGATTGTTTATTTGCGTGCGCTGGGAAGTTTTTAAACGCGCCGCAGCCGGGCGCACTTTGACGCTTTTGCATTTAAATGTTTTAAGAGAACGAGCCCTTTGTCTAAACAAGTTCAGAGTACGGCCATGGAGGAGTCATCGATGCCCCCCATTGACCCGGATTTCGAGCCGCAGAGCAGACCTCGCTCCTGCACGTGGCCGCTCCCGAGACCCGACATCTCGGTTGTCAAACAGGAGGGGGCGGACGGCTCCGAGTCGGCCGCCGGGACCCCGCCCGCCGACGAGGACAAGCCCGAGCCGCAGCCAATCACGTCCGAGACCGACAGAGCGGCGTCCGCGGCGGGGGGGGCAGCGGCGGCGGGCGGGGTCGTGTCCGGCGTGGGCGGGGCCAGCGCCACGCCGCGCAAAGGCTCCTCCAGACGGAACGCGTGGGGGAACCAGAGCTACGCAGACCTGATAAGCCAGGCCATCGAGAACTCCCCCGAGAAGAGGCTGACCCTGGCCCAGATCTACGAGTGGATGGTCAAAACGGTGCCTTACTTCCGAGATAAAGGGGACAGCAACAGCTCTGCCGGCTGGAAGGTGAGGCCTGGTCACGCGTTTCTACAGCTCTGTTTGTTTTAAAACCGGCTCCATAAAGTTCCCCAGGAGGCTCACCCACTATGGTTAACCACGGCTTGTATATATATTTTTTTAAATATTTTATTTGACATTTTAAATGACAAAAACACTTTAATATTACCTACTTGAAATTGTAAATAATTGATTTGTTTAGCTTTTTGGATCATTTCATGGCTCGGCTGTAAACTATGAGATAGCTCCTTAGTGTAATGTAAACTTTATTTATTTTTGTTGATTTTTTTCTTTCTTTTGCTTTTCAGAATTCCATTCGCCACAATTTATCACTCCACAACAAGTTCCTGAGAGTCCACAATGAATCGACCGGGAAGAGCTCCTGGTGGATGCTCAACCCCGAGGGGGGGAAGACGGGGAAGGCCCCCCGCCGCCGCGCCGCCTCCATGGACAACAGCAGCAAGCTGCTGAAGAGCCGCATGCGGGCCAAGCAGACCAAGAAGGCGGCGGGGGCCGGGGGCGCCGGCGGGGGGGCCGGCGGCGGGGGCGAGGGCGGCGGCGCCGGGGCGGCGGGCGCCGACAGCCCCAACTCCTCTCAGCAGTTTCCCAAATGGGGGGTGAACAGCAGCAGCCCCTCGTCCCGGGGCAGCCTGGACGACGCCGACATGTGGACCACCTTCCGCCCGCGCACCAGCTCCAACGCCAGCACGCTGAGCGGGCGCCTGTCCCCCATCGCGCCGGGCCAGGAGGACGACGACAACCTGCCCGACGACGCGCTGCTGGGCAGGTACGCCGCCAGCAGCCTGACGCCCACCCTCACCGAGACGCTGATGGAGGAGCTGGACCTCATCGACAACCTGACCCTGATGACGGGTCAGCAGGGCGGGGCCAGCCCCAGCACCGCCCCGCCGGCGCCGCCCACGCCGCTGCCCTCCGCCGCCACCCTGCTGCCGCGGGGCTCCGGCTTCGCCCCCTTCCACCAGCTGCAGGCCCCCGCCGCCCACGCCGGGCCCCCGGCCCCCGCCTCCCTGTGCAGCAAAGAGCCCGCCTCCTTCGGCAACTCCCTCTTCAACCACATGGGCGGCGGCTCCGGCTCCCGCGGCGGCCATTTTGGCGGCCACGTGCCGTCCAGCCTGGAGGCGCTGCTCACCTCCGACTCCCCTCCCCCGAGCGACATTCTGATGACTCAGGTGGACTCGCTCATGCCCGGCCCGGGAGGCGTGGGCCAGATGGGGCTGGGCTCGGCCGCCACCGTGGGCGCCAGGCCCAAACCCAACCAGCTGCTGCTGGGCAAGAGGCTGGAGCCCAACGCCGTGGCGCCCATGGCGCTGCAGCAGCAGCACCACCTCCACCCCCACCACAACCACCACCCCCACCACCAGCAGCAGCACCAGCAGCAGCACCCTCCCATCAACTTGGGGATGCTCCTCCCCTCTATGAGCCAGGACCCCCCCCAGCTGGCCGCCCTCAAAGAGCAGCACGCCGCCGGGCCGGCCGGGGGCTCGCACCACGCGGGGATGAGCCCGTTCGGAGCGCCGTCCTGCTTCTCCACCGGTCAGGACCGGCTCCCCACGGACCTGGACATCGACATGTTCACCGAGAACCTGGACTGCGACGTGGACTACATTATCAACAGTGACCTCATGGACGGAGACGCCATCGATTTCAACTTCGAAACCATACTGCCTGGAAATCAAAGCTACGGCGGGCCGGCCACCACAAAGGGCTCCGCCCACAACTGGGTGCCCAGCTAATTCTTCAGCTCCACGCGGAGAAGTGGCCAGGTACTCCCCCCCCCCCCCCCTCTGTAGTTTGTAGGAGGCTGGTCTCCTGCACGTGGCGGGCCTCCGCCTGGACGGCGTCTAACCCCAGCCCCGCTTTGTCTTGCAGGAGCTGACCTCCAGTCAACAGAACCTCATGAAACCACAGAACAACCGGTGCGGCCCTCCTCTCCGGCGGTGGCAGATGACTGTTTGTTGTTTTTTTTTTGCTTTCTAAAATGCAACATTACTCTGGGACTTTCAACAGGCCTCACACATGTCACGTGCCAAGACATGCGGAGGACCGGGAGGAGATTCAGGCTACTATGCACACTTTTCTCTCCTGTAACTTTTTCTTTTAAAACACAAAAACACTTGGCACAGGTTTGGCTGCTAGCCATTTTTTTTTTTTCTAATGACCCAAACAGATTATTTTAAAGAAAATATTATGCGTGACACAACGTGTTTTTGGAGTGAGAGGACAAATCAAACGCTCCCCTCCGCTGGGAGTTTACATTTCAGTAGCGTCCCACCAGGGGGCTTTCAGGGTGGGCTCGGTACCCCAGGTCTCCAGGACTGTGTCGAGGACTTTTTTGGGGGGTTTTCTTGTAGGAGAGAAACGGCCAGTTGTTTTTAGTAGATTTTGCTCAGCGGGCCTTGCCAGACTTGCATTTGTTCGGAGGACAGTCTGAGGCGAAGAAGACTGGACGACTGGAAGTATGAAATCAGCAAAGGTTGTTTTGGTTTTTTTTTACATCTCGCCCAGACTTACTTTGACTTTGTCAAAGATGGCAAAGAAAGCTGAGTTTCTTTCTCTATTAGAATTTGATGACTTGAGAGTATGTATTTTGCAGTTTGGCATTTTTTACTTCAATCCAGTGTGTCCGTGGTAGATGTCAGTTAGAGGAAGTTTTTTTTTCTTAAAAAAAAAATCCCTGATGTGCAGTTAAACTTAACAGAATGAAGAAATGTGATTTGTAAATGTCAACCCGGGGCATTCAAGGGTAAATTGTTCCGCTAACAGGTGATTGGTTGGCCAAGTATTATGCTGTCAAAGACAGCAGAATGCCACCTCTGTCAGAAAAAAGGTCCACCGGATTTATCCTTCCTCTCCTCCTGTTTTCCTCCTGAGTCTGTGCATTTTCTAAGCACTTAGGTTTCCTGAGTCCCAGGAACCCCAAACTACACAAATACACGCACCCTGCTGTGCACCATTTTTTAAATAAAAGAGAGTGTGTATCCTGCAAAAGAGAGAGGAAGTGTACACCTTGCACACGTACTTGATGGCACGCTATGCAGACTTATCAGGAGATGTAAATGAAATCTTGAAGGACATTTTAAAAAAAATCACTTCTTGAAGGCTTTGGCTATTTAACATTTTCCTGATAAATTGTCGGGGAAGGGTGGGGATGGTGAGGATTAGGACGCTTCAAATTTAATCTGTACTAACATAAAAGACATAATTCACTGTGTGAGAAGCACAAAAAAAAAGAATATATTTGATTATAGTTTTAATATACAATTTAGACGGATATAATGAATCGAATATTGATACATATGAATATATTACTAATGAAATGTGATGTTTTTTACATTGGAGGAAGCATTTTCAGATCATTTTTAACGGTAATTTTCTATACTTTATTTTTGTAAAGGATGAAATGCATGTAGATTTTTTTACATAACCAAAGGAACACTAATTTTTGCATTTGCATGGCATGTAGGGAGCGCTTGGGCCTGACAGTATCCTGGGTGTACATAAGCTTTGCAACGGATGCCTGTAGCGTGATTCTTTCTCCTTTTCTTTTTCCTCTCCGTGGAATGAGGTGAATACTTGATCGTGTGAGCAAAGATTCCTGCCCACTTGCTTGGTGCTTTTGTTTCCCGAGTAAGAAAATTCTCATCTCAAAACCAGACTCATACAACCGTTACCTCTCAGAAGAAAAACAGCTGTGCACAGATGTAATCGGATAATAGCAAAAAAAAAAAACATTTTTTATTTTGCACAATGTTCTGTGTGGCGGCAGACTGGAAAACGAAAATCCACGTCTTTGATTCCCCCCCGAGACGTCTGTTTTAAAAAGAGCTGATCTCAAAATTTACCCCCCTCCCCCCTTCCTTTTTTGTTTTTTTAAGAAAAATGTATTCTAGGTGTCCAGCCATGTTTAGTACTGCTAGTTCTCCCTCTTTCGTTAGTTTTCTTTATGCCTGCCAATATGTAAAACACTAGAGCATGGGGGGTAGAGAAAGACTCCATCTGTCCCCCTCCCTCTCTCAGACCTTGGAAGGGGCCCGTTGTGATCACATTTAACGGCCCCGCAATACAAACTCATCATTTCAGTGCAGCTGTGTGAATATATTAGCCTCTGGTGTGTATAAAGCACTCTCCCCTTTTCCACACAAATGGTGCTAGATGATGTCATCCGTGACGTATCCAAAGTACGCCGTGATGCAGTAGGTGCATATCGGGGCGGCGGTTATTGTAGAAGTCAGCCCATAATCAGCAGTCCCCCCCCCCCCCTCTTTGTTTTTTTAAAAAAGTTTTTTACCGTGTAATTGCTTGGCCACTTTAACATGGAAACTGAAGACCAATTTGGTTGAAATATGCATGGTTTTACTTAGTATTTTCAATCATAACATCATTTCTTTAGATTTCTACGCGAACCCCCCCCCCTTCTGTGGATGGATGGCTGGTTATTAACAGCTGAAGTGGCTGCTTTACCTTAGTTTACGGTTGCTGCCTTGAAGCAGTCAGGTGTGGTGTTATACTTTCTAATATCCCCCTTATGTAACAAAAGTAGTTTTTTTTTCTCTCCCTTTGGTCGTCTTTAAGTAGCTGTTAGGTTTTCTGTATGTTTTGCATTTTAAGGCCCCCCTTTTGGTCACAGCGTTGTAGCGTTCGACATTGGGTCGTCCTGTTCCAGAGGAGAAGGGGCGGACGGGAACGAGGAGTTGTGCATAAGCCAATTAATGTTTCTGGTTTTTAATCATGTTGTTAGTTTTTTCTCTTATTCTGCTCCCCCTTCCCCTCATTTTTTTTTTTCTTTTTCTACACATTGTAAAGTCAGCCAGAGATGACAAACAGTTCTGAACAGCAGAAAATCACTTCAATAAAACTGTTTAACCCACTCCGTCTCCTCATCTTCGTGACACTTCCCTGTGTCCGCCACCAGAGGCCGCTGTTGGTCACACATTTCAGCCCATGAAGGTCTTTCTGGTTCGGCCTTTGGTCACATGTCGGATTTGGACTAGAACAGAGGATAACAAGTCAACTATTGTGTCTTTGAGGATTCTGTGTTCTTTATAACACTTGTAGGCCGAGATAAAGGGGAGCACCTGGTCCCACCTGTGAGCTCGTATGAAAAGAACAATCTACCAAGAACACACAAAAAAAACGTCATGCCCGTTTAAACCCGTCAGGAGTAAAGTAACCCGGATAAAAGTGTTTGTAGGGTTAGAGTTCAGCTTCTCTCATGTTTCCTCATAATGCATTTAATGAGTTAGTGTTTGGCGATGGAAAAGACATAATGAAATTAAAAGTGAGATTTTAGTTCATGTTTGTGTAACTGTATTATTTTATATTTGTATTAATATCTTTAGTGGAATTTGTCTTTTGGTCAGATTGGCTGATGGAGAGCCAGAAATTCAAAAATAAAGTATTTTCTTTGGCCTAACAACGGTATAATGTAAGGGTAAACAGACCAGAAACACCATGACAACTATGCTACAGGAGATGGAAAAAAAATCAGCAGGCAGCAGTTATTTTCATAGAGCATCTTTATAGAAAACATTTCTTCACATTTTCAAAAGTTTTTTTGTCTTTGCACTTGTTCTCTTTTTTTAAACTGCATTTTTTTTATTTATTATTATTGTCCGTTTTTGCTTAAAATCTGCCTAAGTAGAACGTTTTTAACATCCATCTGTGTCGAATGCTCTCGCCGAGTGGCCGGGGCTTTCAGAGGGCCGACGCTGAGGGACTGATCAGAGATCACGAGTCCCGCCAGAACAACGTTTGAGTCCCACGTCCGTGCAGAAACAGCCCCATGGTTCTCCGTGGAGCAGCCGAGGCCCCTGCGTGCGGCCTCCGCTCGGCCGCTCCTGGCCTGAAGGCACCTGTGTTAACAGCGCTTTAGTTTTCGTCGATATGCACTTGTTTCCTTCACGTTCTTGCGGCCGCTAACTAACTACACAGTTCGTCATACTTCCGACATCTCCCCGGTATGACGGCGAGTCTTACAGTCACACCCAGAAAACCAAACACGTGACTCCAAAAAAAACCATACAAAAAAAACAGTAAAAAAAAACAACAAAAACAAAGAAAGAAAGAACGAAAGAAAGAAGTTTTTAAACAACTAGTTTGCACATTGTTCTGCTTAGCAAATTCTATCAGATATTGTCTGGATAATCAGCTTAATACAGTACACACAAAGGATAAATGCTTCCACACTGAAACTCAAGAGCAAACACCTCCTCTCAGGAACAGTGCTGATTTACATTTTCAATTCAGCCCCAATTCAACTCGTGGACTTCGTTTTTTGTCAAAAAATATGCTTTCGCGGACTGGTGGGATTATTTTTGGAGTGTCTCGGGGAAAAACGAGGAGAAGGCCCCCGTGAATGGCTCAGATTCAGCGTGGCTGCAGTAAACAGCTCAGTGAGCTCCTGGGATCAGGGCAGGTACAAATTTGAAGTTTCACGAACACCGTTATCGTCCGAGTCCACGAGTCTCAGCCCTGGACTGAAAGGAAGAAAGAAGAAAAGGAAAACAAAACAAAAAAAAACAGAACTTCTGACACATCTTAGATTGAGTACCGTTACTCAGGGGTGGAAATTTTTTTCAAAAAGTCTGAAACTTTAAGGACCAACAGTCTAAAGGTTATACAGTGAGGAAGAAGAAAGGCGTCGGACCCACAAGACTCCGTCTCAATGTCTATATAGGAGCTACATTGCATTATAAATATATAAAGTTTAAAAAAGTGCTTATTAAAAGAAACT